CACACACACACACAGACACACACACACACACACACACACACAGCCGGGCAACAGTGGCTCACGGCTGGAATCCTAACTCCTCAGTAGGCCAAGATCACAGGATTGTGGTTGAAGGCCAGCCAAGGCAGAAAAGTCCATGAGACTCCTACCTCCAGTTAATCACCAGAAAACAAGTGGTAGAGTGCTAGTGTTCAGTGGGGGGCGGGGGGTGGAGACAACTCAGGGACAATGCCTGGGCCCTAAGCTCAAGCCCCACAACCGCTCCCCAGCAAACACACACACACACACACACACACACACACACACACACACACACACACACACACACTTATTTAAGAGAAAAAACCTGACCAGACATTAGTGAGTGCTGGAAAGATGACTGCAATTCTGCTTTTAAAATTTTCCATTCACAGGAAGGCCTGCCTTCAAAATAATTAACTGGTCGATGGGTTAATTATTTCTATAAGTCCCAGGAACTTTTGCTTTGAAGCCGTCCATTCATTTAAGGCAATGATACATGTTGTTCCCAAACAGATCCATACAAAAGCTAGGCATATTACGTCTCCAGTTCAGTGACTGGAATGGTGGCTCCTAATTATGATCACAGCTGAGCGGAGGTTGCTCAAGTTGTGTGTGAAATCCCACAGGCCAGCAGTTATTGTGTTAGTGGACTGGCGTATGGTTCACTCTGCTTTCTGAGAGACAAGCCACTGGAGGAGCTGACCCTCAAAGCCATCCACGCCTTGCAGCAGGAATGTCCTCCAAGTGTGCTCCTCACCCCACAGTGGAGCCCACAGGGTTAAGTTTCAGAGAAAGACAATATAATATACATAAAGCAAATGAATGCAAAGGATTTGAACACCACCAACAAGAGATGATTTGTGTGACATCACAAAACTACTCCTCAAAGAGGCTGAGCTTCACAGATGTGTGTTTCCATCTGCGCACAACTTAGAATTGCGCTCGCACTGCAGGTTTGTACTGAGCACATTCTGAGGAAAAAACATCTATTGTTTTCAACTGCCGATTTGTTAGGGCTTCATCTGACATTCTAAACTTTGAGTGTCAACACTGTTACAAAGCAATGTGAACTCAACTAAATAAACCAGACTGTGTCCAGTAAAAGCTTAAGATTCTGACACTGATATGAAGAAAGAGGAACAAGGGAAAGAAAGTGAGCAGATTTACAAAAACCTCATGCTGTGCTTTAGTGCTTCTTTCTCAGGTAGAGAGCGGAAGCCCCACCTGCCCCAGCTCTGCCTGCCTCCCTTCCCTGGGGTCCCTGTGCCTCCATATCCATCACCTTCCTACTCCTCTGGCTGCCAGGCTGACCCTGTGCGCCCAGTGCCGGCAGCCCACTCCCGTCCACTCCCAGGCTCCCCTCCAGGAAGGAGCAATGCTTTACTCCAATTCCCTCCCTGGAGGGCACTTCCTGGGACACCACAGTGTAAGACTGACCATAATGCGAGTATAAGCTTTTATTTACTTGAACAAAAAGAAACTCCAGCTACTCTAGGCAAAACAAATACTTAAAAGTTGTCATTGTGAGATCTTCTCCCTTCTCACCTTACTACACTAGCAAAAAAAAAGAAAAGCTGAGTTAGTAACAAAACTGGACAATGAGGGCCGCCTCTGTCCTAAGATTGTCAAGAAAACCTGGCTGGACGTAGTACAAACCAAGACAAATCAAAATGGGCCAAGAAAAGGACACTGTCTAAAAGTCCCCCCCCCCCAAAAAAATGGGGAAAACAATGACATGGGGTCCTAATTCAATTTGGCTAGAGCTGGATGTAAGTTCCCGCCATGTCTACAACAGAGGCACACTAACCAGAAGCCCAGAGGACACCCTGACCACCGACAGAACCGACCAGAAGCCCAGAAGAGCGTTGGCTCACTGCCGGGGTGAGCAGAACCTCCTTTCATTGGGACCACAGCACTGCTGAGTGACACGGACACAGCCCACGCCAACAGCCAAGACAAAATGGAGGCATTTGTTTCAATCAACGCAGATATAAAAGTCACAAAATCAGTCCCCACTCCCCAGGGAACATCCACGGCTCCAAGTCCCTGGAGACGCTTGCGGAGTCACCACGAGCTGGGCCTCGTTGCCTGGTGGCCAAGCGGCCCGAGGTCAGCAGAGGTGAGAGGCATCCCGAGGGGCCTAGCACAGTGCACAGTGGACACACGGCACACCCAGAAAGAAACAGCATACACCACCACAGTCCAACAAGAAAGTGAAGGAACAGCACACACCACCACAGTCCAACAAGAAAGTGAAGGACATGCAAAACAAATTCTAGGAAAAACATTTGTTTTTCACAACAAAAAAATTATCAGTGAGCAGACAAGACAGGTTGAAATGAGAGGCTGTGCTGGTCATTTTAGTTCAGCCACACCCTACGGGCTGCGGCGGGACCTCAGCTGCACAGGGTCCAGCTGAGGAGAGCTTCTGGATGTGTACAGACCCAGGCAGAGATGACTGAGGGCCTTCAGACATCTTCAAAAGAACAAGGAACCTGGGAAGGATCAACACACCAAGGAACTAGGCACGAGAATATCCTCAACTAGATACTGCGAACGAGAGAAAAGTGAGAACGTGCCCCGCACACTAGGCTGACTAATGAACGTGAACACATTTACACAGAACCTAGAAAAGGCAAGATCACATGATGGACCTGCGCAACTACCCAGAAATTACAAAATGCCATTTACTAAGAAAAACGCTGGAAGGGAAGCAGATTTCTCCTTCACATCCTGTTTACCATGGTACAGGGAGGTGGTGGCGGGAGGTCCCCAAGAACCCCAGACTTGACTAGAGTATAAGTGTTCCAGAACCTGGAATGTGGGTTCCCTCCCATTGGCATTTTCTCTCCCTGGTCTTATCAGGAATCGTTTTTTTGTTTGCTTGTAAGATGTAACCATTTAACAACCACAAAACAGTAACAGTAATAGTAAAACACAGGTCTAATGGGGTGGATGAAATAAAAACAAACTGCAAGTATGTTAACTGACCCCGTGTCTCTCAAATCGCCCTGTACCCGGCGCCTCTGGCCGGGACTTTCCCTCATCCCTTACAGAAGCAGGACAGACACCGGGCTGCCCACCCCACCTGGGCCTCCGTGCCTCCTGCCCGCAGTGCTCTTCCACCTCTCACTTCCTTCAGGCTCTCCCTGGAATGTGTCTGACGAGCCTCCACCAGCAGTCGGGCAGCAGCTTTCCTGCTCTCCCTGTGCCTGGGGCCGCAACACTCTCCACCACTGACCCCAGAGGACGGCTCTTGCTCATGCACATGCCCAGAGGCAGAAATTTCTGTCTGGTTTCTTGCTCATGGGTCCCAACCACAGAGAAAAATAAGGCTCAATTAGTATCACATTGATGATGATGATGATGATGATGATGATGATGTCTGGTTAGGAAATTTGTCAGACTGATCAAAAGACGTTGGTTTAATATCCTTCCACAGAAATTGTTGAAGTGCATGGAGAGCAAAATAGATAACATAACAGTCAACAGAAGCAAAATGAAGGCGGCTCATCCCAATAGGGTAGGTTCAAAACAGCTGAAATAAAATTGAAGTAAATGTGCAGTCCTCCAGCTAAAACTGCAAAAGCAAGCATGCTGATGCAGGCGTGAGCACCCTCCTCCCACCTGGCGCTCTCCCTGCCCGGCAGCGCCGTCCCCTCCCCCGCCTTTGTTCCTCTCCGTGGACGCTTTGTCTCCATCTTGAAATAGTGTCTGTATACTGCAAATGTCCACATAAGCACCACCACGTGGGAATTCGCCCCTGGGCCTGAGTAAGTTCACCTGCTCCCTACGTACCCACATCTGGTAACTGAGATTTACCACATTCCACATCAACTACCTGATTCACATCCTCGCCAGCCTCTCTGTTCACCATCCTCACAGATGCACGGAGGCCACACAGCCCCTCTTCGCACCCACCTTTGGGACTTGCAGCCAAACTGACCATCTCCTCCCTCCCAAGACATGGGTGGATCTCAGCTGACCACAAAGATGAACCCTGGCCTTGGGCGCTGGCCCTCTACTCTAAACTCTGGCAATTCTGCCTTTTGGCACATCATGGAGGACCCAGATTGCCAGCTCTACCACTGTGAGCTCCAGAGATGAGCGGTTAATACTCAAGTCCCTGGCAAACTGAGTGTGCAGGTGGCTACCGATCAAAGGAACTGTGCCGAGCCACCAGCCCCCCTCCCTGGCTTGGGTTGTGGGGAGAATCCATTCTTCAGAGATGAATTTATCTGTATTACAGTTTGTATCTTACAAAGAATGATTCCTTACATTAGGTTGCACAGCTGCAATTCAAACATTGTTTTCAATACTTAATCTGTATGTAATCTCTATGTATAAGAAATGAGATACCTTTTTCTTATGAAATTACGTATCATTCTGTTGTATTAACCATTGGTTAATCCCACTCAGTGTTTAATCTTGCTAAGTATCTTAGTATTAACACACGCAAACACATGGAGTATTTCTGAACGTGCTGAGCAACGCCATGTCTCAGCACATGAGTGATCTTCTGTTCTCCCCAAAAGAGGAAGCCTGACCTGAAAGCCAGGCTAAGCCTAGTAGCCTACGAGAACAGAACAAGACACGCGGAGCACTGCCTACTGTGCAGAGCGCGGGGCCGGCAGGTTGCTGCCAGGTGCAGGTGGTGCTGCTAGTACCTGTCCTTTGGGCTAAGAGAATCTAGACACCCAGCCTGCCTTTCAGTTTCTAAATGTCGGCCATGGATTCAGAAGATAGTACAGCAAGCATAGGCCAAGCAACATGCATCTGCTTGCTGCATCTGCCTTGTAGGGTCTAGTCTGCAGCCTCTCTGCTGACTTTATTCACTGTGGAGTGGTACTTTGGAGAGGGTGCTTGTTTTCTGCCATTTTTTTTACACTTTAACACGTTAAAACACTAAGAAAATATACAAACGAATTTGTTTCCTGCCCCGTGGTAACATTAGTAGAAATCACATTCACGTTACTCACCCTGCTGACTTCCTTAGGAGCCGATTCATCTGTGGAAGGCAGAAGGAAGGGGGAGAGATACAATTAGAAACCCAACAGGTTTGAAATGCAGAACATGTCACGCATTTTCGACAAATTGGAGGCTCACTTACAATGCGTTCTCTTAGGGGATTTTACAATATGAGTTTTTAAAATTGTAAATAAAGGATAAACATCACAAAGTGAGAAACGTATATGCTAGTTTCAGGATGGAAACTGCAACAAGCCCTTCATAGATTACCTTTTTAAAAGTATAAAAAGGAACTGCCTGCACACGCAGCGGCACTGGCAGAGGAAAGCCTCGGCGCCACAGGGGTCCACACACTGGCAGGCCGTAAGTGATGCAGCGGCCACAGGGAGCATCCAAGCCACCAACACTGGTCCCAGGAGGACGCCGCCTGCTCAGCCTCTCCCAGGACACAGGACACTGACCTCCCCAGACCCACCACAGAGCAGGCCTGCAATGCAACGCTGTTGCTATATCGCTTTATTTTCCTGGCCGGGGCGGGGAGTAGGGGGTCGGAGGGGGGGCTGGGAGGGTAGGAGGTGGGGGGGTCGGGAGGGATGGGGAGACCCAAACAAAAACAAACTGCAGGCTTGCAAGCACTGTGAGTTAGGGCCTCCCATCTTCTCCAGCAATCAAGTCCTGCATTAACCACCAGCATGGAGCACTGCTGGCAGAAGATGAACGGGTCCTTTATGCCGCCACATGCACTCACAGGGGCAAACAGACCCCGGGACTGTTTTAAATAAGTTCACACATTACTGAGTCTGTCTCTGCCAGTGCCCAAACCAATCAATCGCACACACTCGGTGTCTCCTCCTCCATCCTCAGACTCACTGCTTGCTACCCAGTTCCACAGATGACACATCTAGTCCCAAGTCACAGTGCAGGTCCCCAGTGACTTCCAAACTGGTTCCTGAATTGGTGTATGCACACGCACGAGCGCGTACACACACACACACACACACACACACACACACACACACGCCTTCCTCTCCCAGTCTGTCTTTCAAAAGTATTGCACCTATTGTGCTCCTTACCACCTAAGGTAAATGAGATTTCAACACTGGCTCAACGCTGACTTTATCTGGGTTCCCTTAAAAAAAAAATACTAAGCTTGGTGCTATTAGAAAGCAGGCGCTTCCCTGGAGACGTGACTACTTTGTCACTGAAGCAAGCTTAGTAACAGAGTGTAAAGTTAAAGTCTTTTTAACTTTTTTTAAATTAAAAATTGTTCTCCAAGAAATTCAATTGTTATCTAAGCACAATTTTAAAAAAGCAAATGGCACTAAAAAGAACAAATTGAAAAGAGAAAAGGGCTGGTGTGTATGTATGCATGCCTGCATGTGTGTGTGGGCGCACGCACAGAGGTTTGATAGTAAGGTGGCTGGGCGCTGATTTGAAGGGAAGGTGTTGTGACTGTCCAAATGTCTGTACACAGATGTGCACATATGATGGGGCTTTTTCCATTGCCGGTCTCGGTACTTCTCAATTCAAAAGTACACAAGATTTTGCACATGTATACATTTACAGCACCGGCATTGTTTTATAGCCCATAAAGGACGTGAATTTGGCCTACAGATGACTTCTGCATTTAGAAATCTATCTTGTTCATTTTTTTAACTTAGCAGTCTTATGATTTTTTGGTTAATGTCAGAGCTTATATTCGGGGAATACTATATTTTAACTAGTAAGAAGAACGGACACAGTGACCTCCGTTCCGGGAGCCATCAGGCCCCCCCCCCCCCCCCCGCCGGGCAGTGCAGCAGCCACGGGTCGAGGGGAGGAGGACAAGACCTGAAGATGTGGTGGCTGCCGCTTTTCCAGCCCCCAGAGAACCACAGCCCAAGAACAGGAGCTGCTCTGCAAGAATCGCTGGCCCACAGAGAATTCTTTGCCCACAAAGAACTGCTGCCCCTCCCCCCGGCCCACACGGGCCCCCCGGGATTCCTGTGGAGCCATCCTGTCCAGTGCTGCCCTGCGGGCCCCGCTCATCACTGCCTCATGCAGTCCAGCATGCAAGCTGCCTGCGAAGGGGAAGGGAAAGGACTACAGAGAAGGGAAGTCTTCCTAGTCCAGCGACTCTTCCACCAACACGTGTCCACTCAACACATCAGTCCTCAGAAGCCAGGCGTGCCAGGCCGGCCCCGATCTCCAGGAGCCTGGCCTGCTGTCCAGTGAGATCAGCCAGCTGGGGAGCAGACACAAGAACCTCAGAAAATGCCCCGTGTTCATTGCGAATAAGTCATTCTTTTCAGAAAGCGAGATGGCACCTCTGCTCCAAATCCCTTCTTAAGCATTAGCAGCCTTAGCAAGAACAGTTCAAGGGGAAAAAGACTCCCTGGAGAGAATTTCCAAAGAAGAACTTAATGGTTTCCTTCCGTGTAAGTACTCAGTCTAAATATTTTATGAATCTTTGTAAATATGTGGGTATTTTTCATGATTAGTTTTGATTTTCCTTGGATATGAAATGGGATTTCAGTAATGGGTCCATCACAGCAGGCGAGAGTTCAGATGGTGCTGCTGGTGTCATGGAGGTCAAGCGGCTACCAGGGTGGCCAAGCCCTGTGTCTGGCCGTCAATCTCACGCTCCATCTGCAGCGGTGCGGGCAGCGCCACACGCACCAGGCTCAGTGCTCGGGAATCAGTGAGGAATGACTACATTCTCTTATCTGATCCATAACAACTGTAGACAGAGATAAACACCAGCACACAGAAACAAGCCCAAAGAAGAAAACAGAGCAAGAAAGTCAGGTTTACTAAGTTCTTCCAGGATCTAAAACGGTCCATTTAAAATCAAGCATTAAAAACTTGAAAAGGATTTTTTTTTGTCCATCGTGGGGCTTGAACTCTGAGCCTGGGCGCTGTCCCTCAGCTCTTTAGCTCAAGACTAGTGCTCTACCACTTGAGCTACAGCGCCCACTTTGTAAAGGATTTTGTAATTACATTGTATGAATATTTATTGTTTGTTGACTTTCTAACATGTTTCTACTAAGAAGGATTTTTTTTTTTTTGTCAGTCATGGGGCCTGAACTCTACCACTTGAGCCACAGCACCACTTCCTGCTTCTTCTGTTTATGTGGTGCTGAGGAATTGAACCCAAGGCCTCATGCATGCAAGGCAAGCACTCTACCACTGAGCCACCTTCCCAGCCCCTGCTAAGAAGGATTTGAAAGGACATAAAAAATTGTAACTATACCATGATCCAAAAAGGGCAGCTATTCAAATGGTAACAAATTATTTCACATTTAGTTACATGAAAAAGACTAAGGAAAGTAAAACTATTTATGAACCTATGCTGGATAAAAAAGTATGAATTTAATTTATATGCGTACATAAATACATACAGGTTTTCTGCGTCTGTAGGTACTGGAGTTTGAACCTGGAGCTTCGGGGCTGCTAGGCAGGTGGCCTTCTGGAGCCAGGCTCCCATCCCTGTATGCTCAGGATAGGATCTTGCTTTGTGCCTAGACCACGGTCCCCCATATACATTTCTGGCCATAGCTGGGGTGACAAGTTTGCATTAGCACACCTAGCTAGTATTCATGGAGATGGAATCTGGTAAACTTTTTGCAAGAGTTGGACACTAACCATCATTCTCATGATTTCTACCTCCTGAATAGCTAGGATTTATAAGTGTGAGCCATGGGTGTCTGGCTATATTTTAAAATGTATCTGTTTATATGTGTATCACACACACTCTAATAGGTCCCAATGATAAATTAATTTTGGCGATGTGCTCTCATACCATAGGTCTGCAGAGAAAATGCTACATGAAGGGTTCTGCAGCACATCATATTAGTCTCACAGGAGGTTTCATTCTGACATGGCGTATGTGTGTGCACCCAGCTTTGATCAGACCCCGCCGCCTCCCTCTCCCTCCTCTTCCTCTTCTCCTTTCCCAAGTTAATATGGACGGGTCTCACTGTTCTGTGTTCACACACACACTCCCCTGGTTGGAGTGTGTGCTAACTGCTCAAAGGTGCTTCAACTTGATGTGCACACATGCGTATACCGTATTTTAATCCTACGGACCCCCTTGCTTATCTACTGCCCCCTTTGTGAACAGCTTTCTGTGTTTCTTTTCCCATCTTCCTTCACAGACATGCTGCTTGCCCGCTGACCTTCTCTTTGCTTCCCTGCCTCAACCTCTCCGGCACGTACGTGCCAGCAGGGCCCTGAGCAAAGCCTGAGCCGCGTGTCCCTCGTGTGCGCCTCCTTCGCCTTTTTTCTTAATTTTTAAATTTAATTTTATTGTAAAGGTGCCGCGCAGAGGAGTTGCATAAGAAAGGTAATGAGTACATTTCCTCCATGGTTCTCTCCTACTTTCCCTCCCCCGACCCCCCTCCCTGCCAAGCTATAAAGTTCATTTCTAACACAGTGTCTCCTGAGTATCACTGTTGCTTTGGTTCTCCCTTTGTCCTTCATCTCATCATTTTGTCGTTCCCCAAATCAGATAAATGTATATATAATACACAGGGTAAGCAAAGTAAGCCAGACCCCAAGGAAACACAGGCTCCATGGTTTCCCTCATTTGTAATAATCAGGATAGTCCTCGCTGAGGATCACAAGAACTCAATAGTTACACACATACTGCACAGAAAATGATGCTCATCGAAATGAACTCCAAGATTAGAAACTAGAGGGTTTTTGTTTTGTTTTTCTAAATGTACTAGGTGAAGTTATTTCTTCTTTCTTTTGTTTTTTTCCCCTTGGTTTATCCCCTGTTGTTACTGTTTTTGGTTCTGGTACCCTGTGTCTCCTTCTCCTTAAATGTGAATCTTCAGGACTCCGTCTAACATCCGGTTCCTCTGTGAGGTCCTCTCAGGGGCCTCCAGACCTCTCTGTTCTCAGAATGTTGCCCACGCCTTTCCTCTTAGGAAAGCGAGTGCTTCAGATGATTAGGAGACATGTTTGGAGTTAAGAGTAGATCACTTTCCTCATTTCAGTCCTCCTTGCCGATCATAAGGGGATGTCTTAACCTTTCCAAATGGTCTTCCTCATATT